TGCCGTTCGCAATCCTATCCGTCAGAATTCTGCTGCTTTCTCATGGGACGGTGAGCATTTATGTAGAACGAACGTGTTGCAGCATACCATATGCACGGGTTCGTCTCACCCAATTCGTCAACTACATCGACGGGTGCCCGTTTAATTTCAGAAACAGTTGGAGCAGGCAATCAAGGACATGCTGGACAAGCACGTTAGCCGTCCATCTTTTTCGCCTTGGACCTCGCCGATCGTTCTCTTCAAAAAGAAACATACGTCTTTGCAATTATGCGTTGACTACCGAAATTTAAATTCTGTGACACTCAGAGACTCCGTCCCATTGCCTTGCATAGACACTACTCTTGATGAGCTGGCTGATGCTACCTGTTTCTCCGGGCTCGATTTACAGTCAGGCTACTGGCAGGTAGATATGCCCTCCCGAGGACAGGTGTAAGACACCATTTTCCACTCCCTCTGGGCTATAGGAAATTGAAACCATGCCCTTTGCGTTGCCAAACTTCTCTGCGACCGTTCAACGTCTGATGGCCTCAGTTTTACAGGACTTGGGTCCTACCGCATGTTTGGTCTACCTGGACGACGTTATCGTACATGGGTCCGCGTTCGAGTCACACCTCGTTATTCTTCAAACGATTTTCCTCCTTCTCCAGCCTGTGGGCCTTAAACATAACCCGGTCAAATGCTGCTTCCTTAAGACCTCTGTCCCATTCTCGGGTCACATTGCCTCAACCGATGGGATTTAGACAGATCCCAAGAAGACCGAGCAGATTCGAAACTGGCCACAAACTACGCCCATTTCCGAGCTGCGCGGTTTTCTAGGGCCGATCTCCCATTATCGCCTTTTCCTCAAAGATTTTGCACACGTAGCCGTCCCTGTAAATCGTCTTACTATCAAACAGACCACTTTTTACTTGCCCGACGAGTGCGAGAGATCCTTTGGAGAACTGAATCGGCGCTTGACATCTCCTTCTTTGCTGGTACTCCCCGACATCTCCGAGTCGGCCCCGCCCTTTATCTTGGACATCGACGCCTTGGATGCAGCCATAGAGACAGTCCTGTCTCGACAGCAAATTGATGGACGTGAACATCCGCTTGCTTTTGTAAGCCAGACACTATATAAGCCTGAGCGTAACTATTCCATAACTCGTAAGAAGCTCCTTGTTTCGTGACGTTTATCAAGAAGTTTCACCATCACCTCGCCGGCGAACGGTCGCTATTTCGCACCGATAACTAGGGACTGCGGTAGCTGGAGAACTCCAAGGATTCGATTGGTCAACTCGGGGGCTGCAGGCAGACCTTTCAGAGTACTTCTACACTGTCGTCCACCGTGTCTGTAAGAAACATCAGAATGCGGACGCTTTATCTCGTCGGACACAGACACCACCGCCACTCGACACACATGCCCCGATGACTGTCATTACGATTAGCGCTCCTGATCCCTTACGATGGGCATCGACTTAAGCCGTAAACCCCTACATACCGCTTATTTATGACCGTATTCGTTGCGGGGCGCCGAAGCCATCAGGCAAGAAGATGGAAGGTTACAAGTGAGAAACCCGTTGCCTTTGGTCAGCGTATAACAGCCTTCGTCCCTGCGACGACATGCTATTCCTTCGATATTATCTTGCCTATTCACTTCGTTTTGTCCTACCTTACGATGCGATCCATCCCACTCTCTCCCTCTCTCTCTCCCTCTCGCTTCCTTAGTGATCTGGGTCACGCCGATCAGTCTTGCACGGACACAGCTGCGTGGCAGCGTTTTTGGTGCCCAAACCAACACTGGGTCATTCGGGACATTTGCAACGCCTGTTTCGCATGCTTGAATGTCAAAAATCCCAACCCAGCGTACCGCGCACCGCTGCAGCTCATTAAGGTAGACTACCCAAACCAAATCGTCGGTGTCGACTTAATGGGTCCGATGCCCCCTTCAGCCTTCGGAAATCGCTATATCCTTGTCTTAATAGACTTCTTCACCAAGTGGTACGAAGCCGTGCTCCTCTCAGAGGCTAACATTATTACGGTTGCCAAGGCCATCTTTAGCGAGTGGTATGCCGTCATGGCATTCCCCAGCAACTCCATCCAGACCGTAGTGCTCAATTCGAGTCGCGTTTACTGGGAAAACTTTGCGAACTCCTTCATATTCGTAAATCACTTTCTACTCCTTGGCACCTGAATGTAATTGGCAAGTCGAGAGAACGAATAGGACATTCATAGGGCTAATTCAAACATTTGTCAGCAGTTGTCCTGGCTCCTCCTGGGATGCCTCTTTGCCTCAGTTCCTTCTTGTCTACCGATCTGCCACGCCCTCCTCAACGGGCGTACACCTTCCACTTAACAGTTCCTGCTCCCTTCCGCTTCCGTCGCAAGTTCTTTCTAACGAATTCGTACGGAATCTCAGAGCTTGACTTTATCGGACACAGACGTTTGCTTGCACGTGCACCTCCACGGCCCAGTAACAGCAAAAGTGTACAATGACCGCCGCGTGCATGGCGCACCTTACCAACCTGGCGATAAGGTATTCTGTTATGAGGAAACGCTGCCACCTGGGTCACCCGGTAAGTTCTCGACTAACTGAATAGGGCCATTCGTTGTCGTAGATGTGCCTTCCGAGACTCTATGTATCCTCCGGAGCTCTGATTATCCCCACAGTTGATCCCCACAGTCCTACAATTGCAGCTCACTTTAACAAACTCAAACCGTATGTCTTGGATGATGCCTCTAACGGCCCTATATCTATGTCTAGTTATCCCTTCCTTCCCCGCCGTTTGACAACCCGCATCCGAGTCCCTCTCAGGCGGTTGCCACTTCTTCTCCGTTTATTCATCTTCCGCCCCGCGGGTTTCTCTCGCCGTGAAAGTCCCCTGAAGGTGGTCTCGGCATCCCGATCGACTTTCCTACCTCCGAACCTCGCACTGATGGGACATCGGTCATAAAGGAGGGGACAGTGTTTCCTTGCCTTAGTTATTTCCTCTGATCTGAGATAAACATGTTGTAGAAACGGAGGAACCAACTTCAGACAAGGCTACGGAAGACCATGCCTGACCGGGCAACGGGCATTGCCGGTTTTACCGAAGCGTGCGCCGTTGGCTTTTCCAGACTTCTTCTAATGTGTTATTTTTCTCCACTTGAGCATCTTGGTGTCTCGCAACCTCCCCACTTTCCGTCTCCAAATAAATCCTTCTCATTAAGAGACCTTCTTATTTGGTATGCTACCTTGCCCGCTTGCTCAATGCAGCATCTTTTGGATCTCAACCTACTGCTATCCCCAGCTCAGAATGAGTGAAGAATGACGTTTTAGAGTGGCGTAGGATGGCCGGGGGTGGTAATCGAAGCGGTCGGATGAGAAGTCGAGGAACCGATGTGTTGGTTAAATTGATACTCAGATAAGCATGGTCTGAACCACTTGAACTGCACCTGGAGAATTCGTCTAAAGGAATCGGATTCCAGGCAAATGTGGCAGATGGAAATGGGGAGTGATCGAAGGAGGATATGCGGCCCGTGGAACTTATTTGCGGATCCTACGAGGGATGGTCTTTGAGTAGCCAAATTTGGTCGCCTGGTTCGTGTTTTGTCCCGTGTGACAGGTGTGGTCATCGTTCATCTGGTATAAACGTGCAGCCTGTAGCTTCGTTTTGGTCGTGATTTGGATAGTTCGTAAGGGATATAAGAGATGACTGAGATATTTGTGCACATGTTCATTTTCCGGGATGCCATGTGTATAGTTACTTCAGACGTGATATACAGATTGCACACAAGAGATATCATGTGAGGACTGAGTGAAGTAAATAGTGGATGGTGGTTCGGAAGGCCAGGAGGCATCGAGGATGAAGGTCATCCCAGGAATCTGTACGAGACTGATCGACCATACTACGGGGGATTGCTACAAGGGTTTAGCTCGTATGTTTTCTCATATGATTTCTCCCGGAGCTCGGATGTAAATATTTGCGTTGCAGGACTGTAAGAAATTATGGATACGCTTATTTCTCGTTTTGCGACCTAGAAAGAAAGTAATTAATGTTGTAAATGTGTTTGTCCTACCCTTACGCTTTCGTCACAGGTTGCGCAGACTTTCTCGACGATTCCATCTTCAGAACGACGTTTCCGTTCTGCCCTTGATTTGTGATATTTTTGAGCGGGCTAAGATATTGTCTGAAGAAAAACAGCTAGTTGAAGAAGTCCAAAACACTGAAAACCGTCCCTTAAATTTCTCGAAACTTTCCGCCCAAACAGGACGAACTCACTGAAGGACACAGCACCCCACCCTCCGAGACGCTCTCGGGAATCGTATAGCTAATGCCTAGCTGACCACTGATAGTTTCAATGCTTTCCTGTTAAAAAAGTTTATTGAAAATTTGACCGCTCCACTTCCGGCCATCCAGGCATTGACCGGGACAGTTCTCGAAACTATAACTTTCACTCTGTGGGATGTGACTGTTGCGATTCGGCGTTTTCGTCAATCTTATAGTCCAGGACCTGATGGTGTCCCAGTTAGCATTTTAAAAGCCGATGCAAATACGATTTTCCCATTCCTCTTTTGCAAGATATTTAATCTTGCTCTTGAAAGTGAAACTTTTCCTACCTTGTGGAAGGAATCACACATTTTGCCCATTCCTAAGCACGGCAAATCTACATCATTTGATGACTGTCGGCCAATAACCATGTTCCCCGCAGTGTCGAAGATCTTAGAGACATTGATCAACGATAATATGATGTGTCACTTATCAGAGAACAACCTACTGAGTGTTGCACAGCATGGGTCCTTCAAAGCTCGGTCTTGTGACACCTGCCAGCTCTCTTTCTTTGACTATGCTCTCCAATCTAGGGACATAAGTTTTGCACTTTACACAATGTATTTCGATTTCGCTAAGGCTTTTGATCGTTTCGACCATGTCCTTCATCTCTTGAAACTGTTCTCTTTCGGAATAGGTGAAAAACCTTTGAATTTTATATCCCCTTACCTTGGCACTCGTACACAACGATTCAAGATTTCCAATGCTATCTCCAACTCCACATGTGTGAGGAGTGGAGTCATTCAGGGTAGTTTACTCGGCCCGCTACTACTTTGCCTTATTGTTAACGACGCAGCCTATGTATTTCAGAATGGTAAGCCCTTCATGTATGCCGAAGATCTGAAGATTGCATATCGATATAGGCCGCCAGATCATGACATCGTGCTTGAACTCCTAAAAAGCGACCTACAGGCCTTAGCTCAGCGGTGTCGCACATGGCGCTTTTTCATTCTTGGCATAAGTGCCCAGTCATGGTGGTTGGCGACGACCGTCAACCTCAGCAAAGCATTGACGGTCACGTCAAAAATGTGCCTGGGGTAATTAAGGATCTGGGTGTGTCGTACTCCAGGACCCTCAATCTTTCGCAGCACTGTGCCTTGATAGTCTCCAAAGCACGTAGAACGACCGGGTTTATCTTCCGAAACCTTAAGATCAGTGATATTGGAATGCGCCATTATAACATGTACGTTAGACCCATCCTGGAATACTGTTCGTTTTTATTTAGCCTCATGCGTGCTACTGAGCGGAGGAAAATAGAATCCGTTCAACACTTTAACCAAAAGAGTTTAAATCCTCGACCACCGACATTTGTCTTACCAATAACGTTGCCGGCCTACAGGACTTGATCCTTTATGGTTTCGTAGAATAAAAAGGGGCTTTTTTGCCATTTAGGATTTTATTTAATGTTACCTGTAACCCACTTACTACTTTAAGACATCCTGTCCACCCTCCGGCGTAACACTCATCGTCAGATTTTTTCATTTCTTCCTCTGACATGCACTGTTAAATATCGTCGGATCTTTTCTGTAAATGTAGTTGCTAGTTGAAATAAACTACCCAGGAATGTGAAGACTCTGCAAAGTTATCATTTATTTAAGAGAACAATTATTCGACTTTTGCATTCAGAAAAGCTCCCACAAATTTTGGGTGCTGAATCCACTGACCGACTCTACCGTAGCGATGGCGTTTGCGATCTCTGGTCCCCATGTCCTATCGCATCAGGGGCAAATTCTCTGGCCAACAGCAACAGCTGTCTTTCAGTGCTTCTGTTTGGCCCAGTCCCAACATTATGAAAAGAAATGGCGACTGAAAATATCCGATGCAGTGTTGCCCACCCCCTTCTTAACTATCGACATTTGATGGACAGCATTTTTTTTCTTCGGAACCCTCCAAACTATAAAAACGACCATCAACTTTGTTTTTATTCTTTTTTGACAGCCCTTTTTTTCTGATGGCTGGCCTTGTGCTTAAATCTTCTCTGACAATGCCTATAAACCAGCATTAAATACAATTATTTTTATTATTTTTAAACTAGGAGCAGGTTGTAAGCCGAAGGAGTTCGGTTGACTTACCAGAGGGCCGTTGGCCTTAAGTGGTGGGAAGCCTGAACTCAGTTGGGGGGAAGGGGGGTAATAGGACTTAGGGCAATTCACTTATGGATTGTTTACTGGATATAAAGTGGGGCTTTGGTAAGTAACCGGTACGCAGGAGTTATCGGTCTAGCTGATGTAGACGGATTTTCATGCGTTCCAGGGGGGCTCTCTGGAGGATTAGGAACAACAAATGGGGCTGCTGCTAGTTTAGGGGCGGACAAGTGCGTCAATTATCCTGAAAGAGGTGGGATTTAGGAGTGAGGAGACGGAGGGCGTCAGATGTAGCAGGAGTAGGACCAGCTTAATCCTAACGACCACTTGTATTATGACCGAGTTGGTGAGCATTAGACTGTGAAGTGGTGGGTTTACGTGAGAAGAGGTACCTGATTCTACGCTCTGTGGGAATAAGATCATGATAAAGGAAAAATTTTGCATTTTCCAGATACGCAGACACACGATCTCAATGGGCAAGGATTGTGTCAACCTCGACTGCTTAAAATAATTTGACTCAGACGGGCGGATTTATGCAATAGGAGGACAGGTGTTTTGCTGTGGCAATTTTGTAGTTGAAACCACACAAATACAGGACATTAGTACCAACGTCAACTGACCGAGCAGATTGAGGAATATTTTTCAACAAATCTTGCAAGCACGCTTTTGTCTATCATTAGATTCACTGACGATCATATGAGCAAGTGAGTAAAGACGTTTGTATTCTCGAGAGGGAATATCGGAGATGTTCTCGTCGAATAATATTGCAAGAATTGAGAGCACAGTGCCAGCTTTAGCCT